TTTCAATGCCACAGAATAGAACGCCACCACTACCTTTGTTTTAGAGATTCTATAATGTTGAGTTCCCTGAGGCTGAATGCTGGTTTGATACCAGCAGACTCACACATAATCGAATCATCACTGATGACTCCAAAATTGACTCTGTGTCAGGATCTGAGATCTTTATCAGACTTAATGGGGATAAGATTAACTTTTCTCTTGGGCTTCGGCCTTCCAGGCTGAGGTATTTGCAATCCTCAAGGCCGTGGACTACGTGGTCCAATATAGGTGGACGGGAATGAGTTTACATGTCTGCGGTGACAGACAAGCTGCACTTAAGGCATTGGGCTGCCCTCTAACTACTTACTTCCAAACTCTGGGTGCCAGTTCAATCGGAAGTAGCTCCTATCGTCCATAACTATATTATCTTTCATATCATGAAGCACCGAAATTAAAGCTTTACTGGGGCTAACGTTTGCAAAGCATATCCAAATCCTTTTCGGTGATAACTAATTTTTGCGGTGCACAACATATTTAGCGGTCTTTTGTTTCAAAGAAAAAGTTGGTTGGTTCAAATATGGCGATGTATGCATTTCCATTTTTGTTATTGCTCAGTTGGAAGACAAATTATCTTTTAATTTTGTAAATAATTTTTTCACAATAAATAAATGATTATTGAGGACTAGGTATGGCAGCACGAAATGTCACAATCTGCTTAATTGTCAGGTAGTTAATATGGCACCCGAAAAGTGACAATGAAACTACATTCTTTTTTGTATCATGGAGCTCTATAAATCTATTTTATTTTTTATGAATAAGGCCATTAGTCCTTAATTTTTATTTACGTTATATATAAGATCATGTCAGTTTTTCAGTTTTTGTTAATATCATTCTGCAGAAAAACCTGAATATTCTCTCAGCACTAATGATTCCTTGAAGCTGTGGGATCAATACTTAACTATTTGTGACTGCGAATACCTGCAAACTTAGAAATACATAAGTAACAAATAAACAAAAGACCGGCGTTTTCTCTTTTACGGCAACAAAATTTGTCTGGTGGGTAGTTATAATTATTGTATATGTGACTTGTGAAGTATGCATCCCTGCGCATCTTTTAATACTAAATGCAGCCGTGCGCATGTACTCACACAAACCAATTCAATTCATTCATTTAAAACAATCGTACAGTCCACTCATATTCTTTAAACTAATATCTTTGTATATAT